ACGTCTCTATTCGCGAAACCCACTGAAAATCCCCTCGCCTTGGTGAACCGAATGTCATTCAATGCGAAAACGATTATTGCACATTCAAGTCGACTAACACCATGTTGGAAGCACATAACGGTTGATGATATGTCACTAATTCATGGCGAAATTTTAGCCTGGTTCGGATCTCGAGCTTTGCCATTACCACTTTCAGGGAGCACGTTATCTCTTCTAAGCAGCACCATAGTTATTTCGATACGGCTTTTGTTCTTTCCTTTTTTCGCTTAAGCGGATTTTGCCGGCTATAAATTGGGTCTTTTTCCCAATGTACTTGAATCAGTTTCCGATTGATTGTGGCTACTAGCGAACTTCCACATATTTACTGAGTTACGTGACACGCTGAGTATTCCTTCCTGTAACCATCTTGGTGGAGAGCCAACACCGGTAGGCAACTGCAAGAATTCCAGTATTTCTAGTTTTTGAAACGCGATCTACCTTTTCGTCCGGCAAACGACAGTTCGACCGTCGCTTCCGTCCATGCCCTCCGTGTGCCCCACAACATGCCAAGCGCATCGACGACGACTTGCGCGTTAATTACGTTATAGCGATGGCATACTTATGCAGCACCTATCGCACCACTCCCTCCCTCACCCGCCGGAGCCCACCGTCATGACAGACTCAGGAAGACTGGAGGCAAAATCGGGCGCAGGTAGTCGGCGTGGCCTGGGACGGCGCCTAGGCGTCCCGCCACACACTCATGTGCGACATTCGTTGTGTGCACACCCCCAATATGGTCTGTCGTTCCCTGAACAGACCCGCCCCCCCGCCGTTGGTCTAGCGCATCTGTCGCGCGGTTCCTCGAAGGGGCCCTAGAAGACTTACACCGAGAGTCACGCAAAGCGATACTTCCAGAAACATGGGCAGGCCACGTACGAAGCCTTACGAGGCCCGTAGTTACCACGCACACATACAGATCCGAATGCCGCGAGCTACTTGAGTCATGATTCGCAGGCCTGCAGCGATCTCCCGAGTCCACATTCTGTGCTGAGAGTTTGCATTCTCTAAATCATTAGTCATGTGGGGAGGGCACGGGTAACCAACAGTCCCAGTAAGCTGAATGGTCGAGTACTTATCACGCCGATAATCAATAATTATAGGAAAATCAAGACAATTAACGGCTCAGGTGCGAACTGACAAGCGATCATCGCACCATACACGACGCCCAGCGATGAACGTGAGTGCAGCTTATTATGCAAGACACTCGGTCGCATGCCAACTGCGTCCTATAAATACTGCGGTCCCCGTGTCTCCATTACCCATATCGGTCACCCTCCATGACAATGGATCCAGCGATCGCATCCTGTTCCCTTGAATTGCTTCCTGGAACTCGCCTATTCGCTTCAATCGTAGAAAAAAGCCAGAGCCTGTGGACCGCATCCTAGGTGTAAAAATTAGCGCTTGCATTCGCCTTTTTAAAGTCGACTGACTCAATAGGATACAACCAACCACTGTGGACAATCAAGAACCTAGAGTGGGCAAAGCATCTCCAATACATTTCTAGCCAACCGTGTAAAAGCAGGAGGTTTCAAAGAGTGTTATATATAATGCAGACGAGATACCAACAAAAAGGCGACTGGAATGACCATTTCTGGCTCATTAGCAGTCATTAGCCGGACATATCGCAGGTTTAAATAACCCAGCATATATATATATATGCATAAAGTAAAACAGAGAGAAAAATGCAAAACAGGGGAGGCTTAAACAAGAAAGCGCATGTAAGCCACAGGGTGTCAACTGTCATCGTGACACACGAGGCAAGAACTCAACGTAAAAAAAAGGAAGAAGGCTAGATGGTGAGAGAAGCTCAGTGATTTCTCAAAATGCAGAAAAGTCCTAGAACATGGGAGGAAAAGCAGGAGTAAGAAAGGAATATATACATGATTCAACAGCGGGGATCAACGCTATGTACGGAACCTAGATCCCATGCAGGTTCACAGGTTAAAACAGGCGGGGATCCCAGCGGAGGCAACAAAATCCGCTGGGGTAAGGAAGTAAAGATGTCAAGAGGATGAGGCTGCATGAGGGTATGCACTCGATGCAGTAACATGGAAGCGAGCGGAGCAGGGGGTGGGGGGGGGGTGAGTTAAAGGCATGCCTGTGGATAGCCTGGAGCGAAATTCGAAGTCTACGATCCGCCGCACGAGGAGTCGATGAAACCTGTAAGTTTGAAGGAGGAATTAGCTCGAAGCCTTCTTACATGAACACAAAAACAGTCCTTAGACCTAAAGTATGCTGAGACGTAGAACTTAGTCAATACCGTCCTGTGAAGGACAGCGTAGGTATTCAAAAAGGCTAGTGGCAGCCGGGGACAGGGATATGTCTATCGGATCACTGATGCATGAAGACATGAAACAATCGTTAAGAACAATGAGAGGCTATTAGCCGCGCAGTCCGCCGGATATTGTTCAGTGGCCCTCCACGATTTTAGCCGTCCGGTTTCTTGGACGAGGGGTTGCCGTGTTCAGGCGAGCCTACGTACATTAGGTGGGCTAACTCATGAAATGTCAACTGAAACTCCGAAATGCGTTTTCGATTCGAAAAGATTAATCAAGTAGGTTTGTAAAACTAATCAATCTGCATTATCACTCTATGGTAAGTAAGTTACCTCAAGATGCCGGCTTTCGAAAGAACTTCCTTCCGGCTGCATGCAAGAACTATACTCTGTAAAAATGACTACTTCAGTAACATGTAAGTATATGATTAGAACCGCCGTAGTGGAAAAAATGGTATTCCTAGACTCCGCTATACCACATAAAGCAGTATGGATCGAGTGAAGGCCCCTAGCATCTGAGGCATACAAAGAGTGCCTTCTATACTTATTTAAGTGGATTTTAGTCCGACGCGATTATTTCGGTTTGGTGTTTCATCGTACAAGGTTGGGTAGTCTGTTGTAGACGGCCTGGTTATAGACAGTCTGGTGGATTATCTACAATGACCCCAGCTCAGAGAGTTGAGAAGCGATCGTTGTAGACACGTAATGTTTATTTTTTCAATTGTCCTGCCTAACTACGGTTGCTATATGTCCATGTATTAAAATTTTTCCGGCCAAAAAAACAAATTTACCAATGATCTATACTTATTTTGTCATTAATCTATGCATACAAAGGCCCCGCTCGCAAAACCCCCATTACCACCTCTCCCGTAAAACAGGTACCCTTGGCTCGTCGTGTGTTTTTGGGAGTCTTCACCCGATCAATGCTCAGACTGACTAGCAGCCAACAAAACGTCCGTTGAAACACGAAAAAGTAAATTTGTAGAAACGGTGCGGCTCCAATCGCAAGAGCAGGGCGCACAAAGGATCGTCATAAACAGCAGTAGAAACCAGTGCATATAAGGACTTTTCTAAGGATAGAGTCAAATGAAATAAACCATACTGGTGCTTTCTATCTCATCCGCCACGTTCGTCCGCCTACCGCCCCAAAAGGCCTGGGGAGGCGGGACGGTGTGACCGGAGCCATAAGCGAAGTTGGGCTGTTGCTGATGGTGCTGATTGCTGTGCATCCTCTGCGACTTGTTGGCAAGCATGGAGGGTCGCACAAGTTGGGCGTTTGGGGCACGTTGTGGAAGACGGGACACGACAGTTGTGGGTGGCTCGTTGGGCAGCACCTTGACACTCGAACGTCCTGCCAAATGTAAGAATTCAGAATTTAACATACATCATACCTACTAGCACCATTTTAGTAGAAGGTTTTTATGCAATACGAACGTCGATGAGATTACCAGGGTCTCCAGTGGTGCGGCGTTTAGCTGCCTCAGCGGCAATCTGAGAGGCCTGCGCAGGACCAACGGTTGCAATACGGCAAGCTGGAGATGCCGGCGAGGCGTGTGGTGCTGCAGCATCCCCAGCGAAGGGTTGGCTCGATACCCGGTGGACACCACCACCACCACCGCCGCCGCCGCTGCTGGGGTTACAACGGGAAATGGTCGAATAGTCTCCTGGCGGAAGTACACGATATTGATTCATGTTGCCTGGATCCAGGCCGACCCTCGGTAATTCACGACTCATGCTGCTGGAGCGGCGCGGAGGTCGAATCTGCATCTCGCCTCCGTAGTGGTCAGTGACGTGCAAACCACGCGAAGG